AGACACATGAATGAGGTCATCTTAGAACAACCACCCCCATCAAGAGGCTGGGTGATTGCAATCGCATTAACGATCCCAGGCGAGACGAACAGAACTGCTTAGAATTTGAGACCAGCTCAGATTGCTGATCCACAGCATCAAGACAAAATAAAATTGCTGTTTTGAGCTACTGAGGTATAGGGTGAGTTGTTACCTAGTAATAGATAAGTGACGTGCATGCTAAGTTGCTTCAGTTGTGTCTGACTCTGTGTGACCCTATGGACTATAGCCCACCAGGCTCCTCTGTCCTCGGGATTCTCCAGGCAAGAATACTGGAGTGAATTGCCATGCCTTCCTCCAGGGGATCTTTCTCACCCAGGGACTGAACCCGAGTCTCTTGTCTACTGCATTGGCAGGCAGACTGTTTACCACTAGCGGCACCTGGGGAGCCCAGATAAATGACACATCAAGCTAAAACCACCTGCCCTCAAGGCCATATTTGATGACAGTTTGGGCACTCCCGGAGCCACCTGCAAACCCTCCTTGCTGAGCCAGGCAAACTTAGAAGAGTGGCGCGTGCACTGGGTGGTTGTACACCTGTTCCCTCCAGGGGCTGGATGACCTCAGGGCCCTAGCTGGGTCTCCTGTGTCTCATTATCCTGCTCATTGTGCTGAGCCAGCCTCTGAAATACAGCAGGTGCTTTAGACACATTTGTTCAGTTAGTGAAATTCCATGGGACTCGTCCAGGTTACCAGCATCTCCTGCTCAGATTACCGCAGCAGTCTTCTAACTGGTCTCCCTGCAGCCAGGCTGGCTCCCTCAAATCCATCTTCCATCCTGGGAAGAAAACTGTCTAAAATGAAAGTCTATCCTGGTTTGATCTCTGGTCAGAATCTTTGACTCCCCACTGCCCTCAAGGTTAAGTCCTATCTCTTGGAAATGACTTGTGGATCCTATAAACCTTGACCCCTGCCTCATCCTGAAGTGACATCCTGTGCCACTCTCTCCCTTTTCTCTCTGGGCCCAACCAGGGATCTTTTTCTCCCCCATTCATGGATCACTCTTTTTGGTGCCACTGGGCCGTTACACATGCTATAGTCTCTAGCTGGGACATTCACCATCCCCATTCCCATGCCTGGTTAAACTCTACTCACCCTCTAGTACACTGGGTTGCCCACTTAGCCTGGATTGAGAGATGACAAGAAGTATGAATCTACCAACAATACCACTCTGGGGCATATATCCAGGCATACGGATATAATTCAAAAAGATACATGCACCCCTATGTTCATAGCAGCACTAATCACAATAGCCAAGACAACCTAAATGTCCACCAACAGATGTATGCATAAAGAAGATGTGGTATATATATATGCAATGGAATATTACTCAGCCATAAAAAGAATGAATTAATGCCATTTGCAGCTACACGGTTGGATCTAGAGATTACCATACCAAGCGAAGAAGTCAGAAAGAGAAAGACAAATACCATTCAATTAGATGCGGAATCTAAAATATGACACAAATAGATTTATCTACAAAACAGAAACAGACTTACAGACATAGAGAACAGTCTTGTGGTTGCCAAGTGGGAGGGAAAGGGGCAGTAATGGATTAAGAGTTTGAAATTAGCAGATGAAAACTATTTTATATACAGGGTGGATAAACAACAAAGTCCTATTATATAGCACAGAGAACTATAGTCAATATTCTGAGATAAACCATAATGGAAAAGAATATATGTATATGAATCACTTTGCTATATAGCAGAAATTAATACAACATTGTAAATCAACTATACTTCAATTTAAAAAAAAAGAAGTGTGGATATACACTGGTTTCTAGACAGTGGCTCGAGGTTTGGCTAGATAGTCAGGGACTCAGCACGGAATTGGTGGATTGCAGACAAGGAAGACTCAGGAAGGGGTATTTAGACAGACCTTCAGAAATGGGTAGAGGGTGTGAATGTATTTCTATACCAAGGAAAAGTCTCACCAAAGAGCATCCATGGCAAGGAGACTGTAGATAATATAATGGCTAAGACAGCACATCCCATGGCTGTCAGTCAGTCTTACTCTGGAGACCCTCCAGTGCTTGCTCGACATACCCTTGTATAACTTAGGTGGTCATGGCAGCAAGAATGAAGACTGCTTATGGGTTCAATGATATGGACTTGCCTCACCAAGGTTGGTCTGGCTAATGTCACACTGTCTGTCCAACCAAACATCAGCAGGAACAGATGCTGTCTCCCCCAAAATATCACCATTTTGCATGGATTCATCAAGTCACCTGGTGCCAGGTTAATTCTACTGGATGCTTTCTCTGATGGAGAGGGCAGTGGCTCATCCTCACTGACCCAGCCAGCATATAAGGCTCCAGGAATCAAAGGAAGTTGAGAGTGCTGTCTCTCACAATTACGCAAAACAACCCTCAGTACTAATTTCCCATAGTTGTCATAGTGAAAGTGTTGGTCGCTCAGTTGTGTCTGACTCTTTGTGACCCCATGGACTGTAGCCTGTCAGGCTGCTCTGTCCATGGAATTTTCCAGGCAAGAATACTGGAGTGAGTTGCCATTCCCTTCACCAGGGGATCTTCCCAACCCAGGAATCAAACCCTGGTCTCCTGCATTGCAGGCAGACTCTTCACCATCTGAGCCAGCAGGGAAGCCCTGTAGTTGCCATAACAAATTACTATGAACTTGGTGACCTCAGACAACAGAACTTACTCCTTCACAGTTCTGAAGGCCAGAAGTTCAACATCAGCCTCACTGAACCTAAATCAAGGTATAAGCAGGGCTACACCCCTCCAAGATTATGGGGAAGAATCCACTCCTTGATTCTTCCAGCTTTTGGTAACCCCTGACATTCCTCTGCTGAGGCCACATTACCCCAGTCTCTACTTCTGTCTCCTGTGTGTGTGAGATCTCCGTCTGCCTCTTTCTTGAAAGGACACTGGCAATTGGATTTAGGGCCCCTGGATAATCCAGGATAATCTCCCCATGTCAAGATCATTAACTTAATCACATCTGCAAAAATCCTTCTTCCCTTATAAGGTAACATTTTACACATTCCAGAGATTAGGACCTGATATCTTTGGGTGGGCATTATTCAGACTAATATACCCACTCATGCAAATTTTGCTTCATGTTCCCCCAACATTGGCCTCTGTTAGTTTGGAGGTCTCAGTTCCCAAGGGAAGGGAAGCAACACAGTTTTCATTGAATTGGAAGTTGGAACTTCTAATTGGCCATATTGGGCTTCTCATGCCACTCAAATAACAGGCAAAGAAAGAGTCAACATGCTGGCTGCCTGACTGGTCCTCATTACCAAGGGGAAATTGGGGTGTCACTACACAGCAAGGGCAAGGAAGACTATGTCTGGGACCAGGGAGTTCTCAGGGGTCCCTTGCACAAAAGTTAACAAAAAGCTATGGCATCCAAAACTGTGCAGGACCACTGAAGCTACAGACCCTTTAAGAATGATTCTCTGGGATCATTCCACCATGTAACAAATTCCACCTGGCTGAGATCCTCATCAAGGACAAAGGGAACATAAAAGGAGAGTGAAAGAAAGAATATATTTACTCAAGTAGTGAAGTATATATAATAGATAAAGAGAAATACTTGATTTAACGTATCTATGTATCAGCTATGGCACTGTGACCAGCTACCAGAAGGGGTTCTATTGCATCAAGGGGCGTGTGTGTGTGTGTGTGTGTGTGTGTGATATTAAGTGTTTTTCTCCCCTCCCTTCTTCTTGTCCCTTAGGATTTTATTTAAAGTTTGTAGGCAATTGCTGGCTTTACAGTATACTCTTTAATTGCAGGTGTGATTGTGACTGAATTGGAGTAATTAACATCACCCAAATATGGATTCGGTGACTAAGTCCTGGAGCTGGATACATCTATTGGATGGTGGAATTTCTTGTGTTTATCATTTCCAGAGAGTGAGTTAGCATCTTCATTTGTATGCAGGATAGTTTCATCTTATGAGGTGGAAGCTACTGTTGCCAGATGGAGGTTCAAACATGTGTGGATGGACATGTATGGATACCGAGTGTCCAAAGGGTTGGGCCGTGCCAGTTATGAAGCTATTGCTTTTTCATTCCAGATGCAGCCTTCTGCACTCTGCTCTGTGTAACTGAAGCTGGGACTCTGCAAACCACATCAGCTTTGTCAGCTAGCTTTGATAACTAGGGGCACTTGGGAAACACTGGAGGCAGAAGTGGAGATTTCCCTTCTTCCTTTGCCTTCTCTTCCTCCTAACCTTATTTAAAACAGCCTGGCAGCCACAGCTGCCCCCAGCCCTCAGCTACTTTTCTGCACACCCAGACAAGCTTCACTGTGTCCCCTTGGAGGTACTAGCACCAGCCAGACAGCACCCGCTCTCCAGACCTCTGAGTTCTAGCATTATAGGGCTCCCCCAATCAAGTCAATAGGTTCTGCCAGCCTCAACCTCTTCCCTGCACTCCTGCAGCCTCAGGACTGGGACTTGCTTCCTGCAGTGGCTTTCTTTAGGTTATCCTGGTGTTCTGTTTGTTCTTCCAGCCTGCCTAGATCAGTGTAACCCATTCCCTATAGTAAATTCCCTGTGTTGAAAAAACTAGCGTAATTTCTGTTTTCCTGACTGGACCTTGACTGATACAAACTATTAGGAAAGTGGCACTCATTTTTCACTGGGGCACTGAACCAAAAGAAAGTTAATTTGGAAGTACCAGGGGTCATCTTGAGAGGGCAGCCTGCCTAAGAGGAGGACCGAGACAGAGGACAGCTCCCCAACACATTTAAGCACCCAGATCTAGCTTCACATGAGGCCAAATCTATTTCCTGGACTTTTTAGTTATCTGGGCCAATAAACTTTCTTTATTTTTGCTTAAAACATTTCAGGTTGCTTTTCTGTTGCTTACGCCCAAGAGTCCTGACTAATCCGAATCTCCTCACCCCCACCCCCAGACCAGGTGTCACACTTCACAGACACTGAACAGCCAAGACCAACCACCTCCTACCGAAAACTTTAATGAAATCAATAAGTTAATAAGTTAACAAAGTGAGGTACTTGCATATCCGAGAACCGGGTTGGTGGGGAACCTCGATCATGGAAGGAAGGAGGGCTTCTTCCCAAGTCTCCTTTGGTCGTGGGGCGACCCCAGCCTCCTGCCCCTCTCCACGGCTCTCTCAGGGGGCGGAGGTGTGGCTCTCTGGGGACAGTGTAGTGCGGGTGAGGTGAGCCAGGACAGGCTCCATCCAGGGCATGATGGTCACATGCAGAGGGCATGTGGGGGCAGGGGCTGGGCACCATGGCGCTGAGCAAGGTCCAACCCCAGCCCTGGCGCTGGTGCATGCAGGTCCCCAGTCATGAGATGCAGGCAGCTGGGCCTGAGCCCCTTATTCCCCGGTGCCCCACAGAGGGTCACCATTCCACTCCCCACCACCCTCCTGCCACCTGCATTGGCTTTGCAGAAGAGGGACAAAGCAGTAGGGATACCAAAGAGGTGCTGGGGGCCTGAAGTGGATGGGGGCTTATGCGGTAAGGGGGCTGCCAACTGAAGTGAAGAGGGGGTAAGGAAGGAGGGGAAACTGTGTGTGTGAGCGCCATATGTGCAGATAGTGCCTGGTGAATGGTACTTGCTTAAAGTATTATTCTCCTCTCTGGGAGTTAGAGCGACTAGGAGCAGGGCAAGCCTAGATAGAAGCGGCCCTGACAACCACCCCGGGGAAGGGCCTGGGGGCTTTCCAGGGCTGTCCAGACCCCAAGAGGCCTAGCCTTGAGTCATGCTGTGGGGATACCAAGGAGGGCCCTTAGGGGCAGGCAGAGGCAGCAGTTAGGGCTCCTGGACCTGTGAGGAGTAAATCTTCTTGAGAAAGGGGAGCTGGTAAAGCTCTGGGGTGGGGCCTGGAGAGACCTGTGGTCACGTGAGAGCTCCCTCTCCTACCTGGGTGGGGTTGGTAGGAGTGGACATCACCCTGCAAGACCAGGCCACTGGCCTCAGCTGCAGAGACCCAGCAAATGCTGAGTGGCTCTGTGCTGATGTCTCCAAGTGTAGGTAATTGTCAACATGAGTGTTGAGAGGCTACCTGCGTGTCTGGGGAAACTGTAGGGACATGTTTGTGTGACCGTGGGAGCACTGTCTAGGAGATTTGGGGGCAGAACACAGACAGTTATGCTGTCAGAGGTGTCTAGGGCCAGATGGGAGTGAACATTGGCAGGAAGAGGGAGCCCCTGGGAGTGGACACCTGCAGATGGGAAGAAAGGCCCAGGCGCTGCCCTTGGGGAGGCAAGGGAGAAACAGGCCCCATGCTGGGAGGGGAGAGGAGGCGTTGATAAGCCAAAGATCAGGGATGGGGGTCACAGCCAAGCAGCCTGAGACCAGCTACAGCTGGGGGCCCATCTCCCAGGGCGGGAGGGGCAGAGGGACCCCATGGGGGTCCCCAAAGTTGCATATTTAACGTAGTTTGCATATATGGTGCCCACCTGCCTGGCGGCAGGCTCCTGTGCTTATGGGTACCTGTGTGGGCACCGTGGGCCCACCCCCAAGTGGAGCGGGGTCTTGGCGGGAAGGCTTCCCTGCTCTGTCCGGAGGGCGGGCCAAAGGCCTCGCCTTGCATAGCTGGAAGCTGGGTCAGGGCCCCGGCGCCCTGCTCCCACTCCAGGGGCAGTGCCTCTGCCAGGCAGGCCCTGTCGGGCCTTGATGGAATGGGCAGGGCACTGGGGGGCCCAGAGGCCGCCGGGCAGCCGCCGCCGCTGCCCTCCGTGCGGCCTGGCATCTCACGCTCCTGAGGTGGGGCGGGTCGCTGGCACCCACGTCGGGTATCTCGCCCACCCAGGCAGCTCAATACTGCATGTGGCCTCTCTCCCCTCGAGGGAGTGAGTTCAAGTAAGAGAGGAGTCCGGAGGCCTCAGAGGGCGGGTCCGAGCGCCAGGCCGAGGGGCTGGCCGTGTGCTGCCCCGCCCCCAAGAAGACCCTCAGTCCATGTTGGTGCTGACCGAGCGGGAGATGCTGAGCGTCTGTGCGGAGACGGAGATGTCCTCGTGGTCCACAGGGCTGTGGTAGTCGGAGGTGATGTCGGGGTCGAAGAGCGGCACTTGCACGGTGCCCAGGCTGGCCGAGGTGCCAGAGCGCAGGCAGCGCGAGTAAAAGCCCAGCAACAGGTCCAGCTTGTGCTCGATGGACTGCACCTGGGGGCGGGGCGCGGCTGGAGGCGGGGCCTGGCCGGGGCTTGGGGGCGGGACGCGGCCGGGGGCGGGGCTTTCCCGGGGAGGGTCGCATCTGGGAGGCGAGGCTCCTCCGAGAGGAGGTGCGACAGGAAAGGCGGAGCTCGGCCGGAGGGCGGAACGAAGCTGGGAACCTGGGGTTTATTCCCAGCCTCCCACCCCCCCGCAATGAAATTTAGTTGTGACGGGCTGGGATAGTCCAGATGATCAAGAGAGACAAGTGAGGCAGGGTTAAATGAAGTAGATGGGACTTGGGCTTATCTGAGATGCTAGCAGCCTAGGGCGGGGCTTGGCCGGAGAAGGTTGGTTTATCGGGGTCGTTTAGCAGGGGTGGGCGGGCTTTCTTGGAGACGGGGCTTATCTGTGGGGCCGGGTCCACCTCGCAGCGGCTGCGTGGGCCCGGCTCGGGCCTGCAGCTCGGGTGCTCTGGGCTAAAGCTCTGAGAAGCGGACCCTCCCCTTGGGCCTAACCCGGGGGTCTTCCAGAGCTTCTCGGTCATCGGCTATCTCCCCCACACCAGCGAAACTCCATCCCACACTCACCTGCTTCTCCACCTTGACCACACGTCCCATTATACTGATTTCATCCACCGCCTCCGTATCGGAGGGCCCTTTGTCACCCTTCTCCCGGGCTTTCCGGTCCCCGGGGCCCCGGCCGACAATCTGGTCCACCCTGTGGGGAAAGGGAACTGTCAAAGGACCCAGACACTGGCCACCCCGCTTTCCTACAAGAATTCGAGCTCGCCTTCTGAAAGCGGAGGCATTCGCCTGGATGGGAGCAGGCCATCTGAGAGACGGGGCCAGTTTGCTGTTCCTAATGGAGAGACCAAGTTTAATGGAGGTTCCCGGTCGCTGCTTTGACCAGAGCCGAACCACCACCCACAAGCATGACAGGTAAAACAGCTGCCTGATGGGAGCTGGGTAGGAATGGACTGGGAAGAGGGAGAGACACAATGGGGATGTGACTTATAAGGGAGACGAGGCTGAAGCTCGTCCACCTTACCTTTCTGCTCCCCTTTACAGCAACATACTTGAAAGTGTTATCCCTACCCTCTAGCTTCAATTTCTCTTTCCTGACTCTCTAAAACCTCTCTAATCAGGCTTTCATTCCCACCATTTCACCGAAACTACAGTTGTCAAGACACCAAAAGACCTCCTAAATTCGGTTCTCAGCCCTCACTATGCCTGACCTGTTAGCAGCACCTGGCACATCTGATCATCCCTTCTTTCTGCACGCTCTTCATTTGGATTCCCAAACATCACTTTCACCCAGTTCTCCTACCTCACTCACCTCTCCTTCTCAGTCTCCTTTGCTGGTTCCTCCTCTATCTCCACAACCTCTTAACACTGCAGGACCAAGAGCTCACTCCTAGGACTTCTTTTTTTTTCTTCTATTTATTCTCACTCACTAAATGATGTCTTCAGTTCCAGATTTTCCATTCCTCTATACACGGCTGACACCAAATCTATATCTCCAGCCCATACCTCTCCTCCGAACTCCACACTCCTGCCAGATCCACACTCCATTTAGCTGTCTGATGGGCATCACAAACCCAGCATGTCCCAACTTTCCTGATCGAAACTTGCTCCACTCATTGACTTCCCCCATGTCAATAAACAGCAACTTTTTCCTCTTGCTCAAGCCAAAAACTTCAGCTTTATCCTTGATTCTCTCTCTCTCTTTTCCCTCTTACACCCTATCTGAAAATGCTGTCAGCTCTACTTTCAGAACATATCTACAATCTGACCATTTCGCCTCGTCTTAATTGCTGCCACCTGGTCCACACCGCCATCATCTCTTACCTGGACATCTGAATTAGCCCCCTCACTGGTCTCTCTGTTTTCATCCTAGCCCCCTATAGGCCATTCTCAACACAGCACCTAGGATGATCCTTTTAAAATGTACCTCAGATCGCATCTGTCCTTTGTTTAAAACCCTCCAACACTTGCATCTTACTCTGGATGAACGCCAACATCTTTGCAGTGGCCCCCAGAACTTTATATAGTCTAAGTGCTATTAGCCTTCTAACCTCATCTCCTGCTTCCCTCATGCCAGGACAGGCACACTGGGCTGCTTACTCTTCCTAAAACATCACACCAGACACCTGCCCATCTCCAAACTTTTGCACTTGCTGTTCCCTCTGGAAACTATTTAAACAAACCACAATCATGGGGCTTTTTGCCTCACCTTCAATTTTTTTTCTTAAATGTCACCTTCTTGCCTGTTTAAAAGTCACAAATCTGAATACTTTAACCTTATTTTTCTTCTTAGCCTTTATCATCATCTGACAAGTTCTGGTTTCACTTACTATCATCTATTCTCCTTCCACTGGAATGAGAGCTCCATGAAGCAGAGGCCATTTGTTTCCCACCATATCCCCACTGTCTGGCAAGTAACAAATAAATGCCCAGTGACTATTTCTTAAGAGAACAAATGAATGGGCAGTGAAAATGCAGGCCACAAGAGGAAAAGGGCAAGGTGTAGGTGATTTGGTTCTTGGTGTGAGAATCTTCCTACACGCTGGGTGGAGAGAAAAGGAGTTGGAGGATTCCAGAGGCAAGAGGTGAGCAGCACTGAGGACAATTTGCCTGTTCTAGTATGAGATGCTGGGGGGCGGTGGGGGGGTGGGGTGTCAGTCACTGATAATTTTAAGCCTATTATTTTAGAACTGAGAAAGCAGTCATCTAAAGACGTCCTTGAAGTGAACAGGTCAATAGGGTTCACTTCAGGTTCAGTAAGGCTTCCCTGGTGGCTCAGATGGTGAAGAGTCTGCCTGCAACGCAGGAGACCCAGGTTCCCTAGGTGGGGAAGATCCCCTGGAGAAAGAAATGACAACCCACTCCAGCGTTCTTGCCTGGGAAATGCCATGGACAGAGGAGCCTGACGGCTACAGTCCATGGGGTCGCAAAGAGTCGGATACAACTGAGCGACTAACACTTTCCCTTTCAGGTTCAATAACAGGTGCGGGTGGCAGGCTCCCGCTCCAACGCACTGCAAGCAAGAAACACCAGCTCCCGCCACGGCCCCTAGGGAGCGCTCAGGGCTGCATTTGGGCGCCCCACAGAGGGGCTCCAGCGGGCCTCCGGCCGGAACTGGTGGCACGGCCGTCCTGCCCCGCTCCCCCCACCGTCCTTGGCCCGGTGCACCCACCGAGCCTGCAGACTCTTGATCCGGCCCAGCATGTCCAGGTGCCCTGCTGAGTACTGTTCAATGACGTCCTTCACGTCGTATGGTCGCAGAGTCTCTTTGAATTTCCTTTTGGCTACCAGGAACTTCAGGATCCTGCGGGGGTCGGGAGTCTCAGAGGACAGACATTCTTTTCCAGCCCCTCTCTGTCCTTTGCTACCTTGTCTGGCGCAAGGCCACCTCCTGCCTGGGCCACCGCAGACAGCCACAGCTGGGTCTCTGCCTCCCTCCCTCCCCTCCACGCCCCTGCCCCAGCCTCCTGAGTTTGTTTGGTCTTTTTTAATACGCAGTCGCTGGGAGCGCCTGGACTGGGCCTGGTTTCTCTCTGCTGGGTGTGAACACTGCTGCTAAGGACAGCTTAGGGGAAGACACTTTTGCATATGCCTGTTAGCACTCCCGTGCTGGACCCTGGACACCCCATATGGCATCAGATACAATCTCGGGAGCACTGGTCTGGAGCGGGAGACGAAGAGGACACAGACAATTATGGGGTGATGTGGGCTATGTCAAGGAGTGGAGAAAGAGGACTGGGGACTATGAGAAGGGAGAGCTTGGCTGGGGAGGTCAGGAGACGTCTTGAGAAGTGATACCTTCCAGTCCCAGGGCAAGAGGAGGGGCATGAAGGGAGGCTTTGGGGACACAAACAGGCATGGAGGTGTGTGAGTGAGAGTCAGTCCAAAGTAGCCAGAACAGGATGTGAAGGAAAGGGGTTAATCAATGAGAGGTAGGGTGAGGGGTTATTCTGAAGATCCTAGCATCCCTGGCAGAGATTGGGCAATGGGAAGCTGGGGTGGTGGGGAAGGGGCCGTGTGGTTTACTCTGCTTTAGCACGACCGTCCTCTGTCCAGCTGTGTGGGCAGAAGATGTCGTCGAGGGGCAGAGTCCCAGGCAGGAAGACCCACTCCAGGGGACGAGCCTGAGCTGGGAGTTGGGGTGGGGGGAGTTGGTGCAGTGGGGTGGAGATACAGAACAGCTGTGAGCAGTATGGGAGAGGGGCCTGAAAGGCTTCTGAGTCTGAGTCCAGGATGACTCCCATGGCTTGGGGCACGGGGTGGAGGATAGTGCCACTACCTGACATGGGGTCATGAGAGGAGGAGCAGAACTGGGGCGTGCTGGGTGAGAGGGGCCAAGGAGAGCTGACTTTGGCCAGGGGGAAGCTTGGGTGCTATGTTCCAGAAGCTGGTCCCTTGGAGGGGAGAGACAGGATGCATAAAGGAGGGGTGGGGAGAGGCGTTAGACTCTCTAGGAGAGGGGGTGTCCAGATGACTCTGATTTAGAAGAAACACAAAGGAAAGAGGCTTGCAGACAGGTGAATCAGCCAGGGAAGAGGGGGGGGGGGTGAGTCTGGAAGGCCTAGGGGTGACACTGAAGCTACAGGATGGACACAGAGATTAGGCTGGAACTCCATTCCAAGGAGTTTGGGGGCCAGATCCATGGCTACATGGCTAAAGAGCTCAGGGACTCTGGTCCCTGCTGAACTGTTAAGGGAGACAGCCAGTGAAGCCAGGAGGACAGGGGCCTTCAAACTTTTTGACCAAGAACTAGAGTAAGAAATAGTTTACAGAAACTAGTATACACACACACACATAACTGAAATAGCAGTTTCATAAACATTTATTCTTACTAGGAAGAATGCACTCTGATACTTTCTTTTTTCTTTTTTGAATGCTAACCACTAAATTGATTTCACTAAGTTGATTACAAACTGTTGTGACCTGTGGTTTGAACAGTATGGCTCTAGAGGAAATCCTGGGGGAAACAGACAGGCTGAGGTCAAGACTCCCGAGGGAAGACTGCATAACTTTGAGTCACGGAGGCAAGAGGGGGATGAGACTTAGACACAGAGATGGGGTGAAACTGCCCATAAGACAGAGACCCAGGGAGAGCCAGGCAGATGCTGATACACAGCTAGGGAGAGAGAAATAAAGAGAAGAGGGCACGACACACAGGGAGAGAGAGGTAAGGGAGAGAAGCAGGGAGAAGACTGCAGTGTGAGTAGAGGGACTGTGATGGGCAGCCATGCCCACCGCCCCACCTGGCCAGCCCTCCAGATGTGATGAGTCTGCACCAACCCAGCCGGGAGCATATGCCACCTCCCCACCCCACCCACTCTCCAGGGACCCTGCCAGCCAGTATCGTCGAGGGTGCCAGGCAGGCAGCAGCTGGTATGCCAGGAGCTAAGCCAGGCCTGGCCACAAGGGCAGACCCCAAATGGGGAGCAGCAGTGAGTGGCCCACCTCCTGCTTCAGTCTCACCTGACAGAGCGGATGACCGTCTTCACAGCGGGCATGACGTCGTCCACAGTGAGTTCGCACTGGTAGCTCTTCTCCTCCACCACTTCCTCCGAGGGGCCCTCTGAAAAGTCAGGAGCAGGGGGCCCAGGTGGTGGTGGCAGAAGGGAGTGCTTGCAACCCCTAACACCACCCAGAGCTCTAGAAAGGGCCCAGAGCCTTCCTGGGGGCACAAGCAGACCAGGTTCTTGCCCCCTGGCTGCCTTACCCAGGGGGAATACCTCAGTTTGCTGCAGGCCCATCTCCCCTGTGTACACATCTGCTGGTGGCCGGTAAGTAGGAACCACCTTAAGGCGCATCTGGTCTGGCCTGGGGCAGGATGCACACAGCCCTGGAGGAAATCCCACCAGCCCCACCATTCAGGACAGTGACACGGTGCTTGAGGCGTCTGCGCATTATTGCACATCAGCCTTATCCTTCAGCTAAGAGGGAATCCAGGAGCGGGCTCCCACCCCCAGCTCTGCTACAGAGGAAGCCTCTAAAGCAAGTCGTTCTCCTCCCTACATGAAAGAAATGGCTTCTCCAAGGCTGGTGTCTGGCACTGCACACACAGATGATGCTGTCCTGGCCCCACTGGGGCCAAAGGGTGGGGAGGTCAGGCAGTTTCTTGGCAGGAAAGAGGAGGCCCTGGGCACCAACCAGGCCCCAGGTCCCAGCACCCCCCACCTGGTTTGTGGAGTTCTGTAACTTTCCAGGAAAGGGCTGTGAGAGTGGTCAGCCAGCAGCATGCTGGGGGATACAGCACAGACAGAGGCAGCACCACTGGGTTCCCCCCCCCAAAGTTCCTGTCCCTAACCTCCATCCTTGTCCACCCCCCTCTACACCCCCGCCCCCCCCCCCCACCACCACCCAGGGGCCTGAAGCATGTCCATGGGAGAAGTCTTCCAGGGAATTTGGTCCAATCCTCTGTTTTTCAGAAGAAAACACCGAGGCACAGAAGAGGGCAGTAGCTTACCCAGGTCACAGTGTAAGTCAGGAACAGAGCTGGAACTCCAAAAAGCCACCTCTCTAAATGCAAGCCCACCAGATTCACAGCCTCATATCCACAGGCTGGGCCAGCAAACAGGGGCAGGGTGGGGAGCATGGGCTTCGGAGCTGGGCAGACTGCTTAAGGATATCAGCTCTGCCACTTCCTTGCTGAGAGGGCTCAGTCTCCCCATCTGTAAAATGGGGCTAGACACGACCCTACTGTTGCTAAGAGAAGTAGACAAGATAATCCAGAGTGGGGCTGTGCACAGTCAGGGCTCTCTTCAGCACGGATGGCCTCCTGCTCCTCCCAGAGTTTGTAAGGCTGCTAGCTTTTGATGAGCACTTATTGTATTCCAGAGCTCTTCTGTTCACCTACTGTGGGTAATCTCATATCATCCTCACAACAACCCTATGAAGTAGATATGATCACTGTCCCCATTTTATAGATGTGGCAAATGAAGCCCAGGGAGATTAGGTTACCTGCCCAAGATAAATGACAAAGACAGGATCCAAACACAGGCAGCCTGGCTCCAAAGCCTGTGCTCTTTTTTTCTCTTTTTAAATAGTGGAGTTTTCCTAGGTGGCACTAGTGGTAAAGAACTGCCTGCCAGTGCAGGAGACATAACAGATTCAGGTTCAATCCCTGGGTCAGGAAGATCCCCTAGGGGAGGGCATGGCAACTCACTCCAGTATTCTTGCCTGGAGAACCCTATGGACAGAGGAGCCTGGCTGGCTACAGTCCATAGGGTCACAAAGAGTCAGACATGACTGAAGCAACTTAACATAGCCAGTTAACAATGTTGTGATAGTTCAGAACAATTCGGCCATATGTATACTTATATCCATTCTCCCCCCAAACTCCCCTCCTATCCAGCAAAGCCTATGCTCTTAACCACTACCAAATGCCACCTCGATATTCTCCTCTGATTCTCAAACAGCCTGGAGCCCAGCAAAGCAAGTATTATGATGCCCATTTTACAGACCAGAAGAATGGTGCCCAAAGATGGTCAATCTGCTGCAAAGCTGGGGCTAGAACCAAGTGTTTCCACCCCCAGCCCAGACTCCAGGCCCGCCCTGCCATCCTCAGCGGGTCCTGGCCCCAGACCCACAGGGGCTCACCCTCAGCTGAGGTGCGGGGTTTGAGTCTCAGAGAGGCCCGGAAGCGGGTGCGGTCGTTGAAGCTCCAGCTCTTCTGCACCTTGGTGGGACTGCTGGCCTCACCCACCTGCTCGCTACTCGGTGAAGTGGGCATTGGCGTAGGTGCCAGGTGCTGCTTGGAGGGGCCCGTCCGCCGCTGGGAGCTGCCCATGCGGATGCGGTCTTTGATGCCCATCCGGCTGCTGGCAGGGCAGGGCAGGGCAGGCGGGGGAGAGAGTCAAGTTAGCTGCAGCTGGGGGTAGGTGTGAGTGGGGACACAGCTGACTTGGGACTTGGGGGGCAGTTACTGGGGCTGACTCTCCTCCAAGCAGAGATGTCCTAGGATGGGGCATGGGTGTGGTAAGGGGGGCCCTGACTCCTATGAGAAGCTGATCCTGGATCAGTCTGAACAACTCCGCTCCCCACCCCCACCTCCCACCCATCATTGCCCGGACAGATAAGGGTGCACAGGAGACAGATGTCAGAGTGGAAAGAGTGACAGAAACCCAAGAAGGGAGTCAGAGACAGACAGAGGACCGGGAGCTGGGCCTGGCCCAGGCGGGGGTGGTGGGGTGGAGGCAAGAGACCCGTCTGGGGACAGACAAGCTGCTGAGGGATGGAGAGGCTCACCTGGCCATGCACACTGAGTTAGACCCGCAGCTTCTCTCTGTACATGTGGGCCGGCTGTGTGGAGCTGAGGGTGTGTGCGTGTACGTGTGTACTGTGTGTGCTTGTATGCACACAGGTGCCAGTGTGTGTACCTATTTTCCTCCTTTGTCCTCCACTGGAGCTATCTGACCCCACCTGTTCAGGTCAGGGCTTCAGGACCTGGTACAGTTGTATACGCAGTGCACTGCAAAATTCCAAAGGTCTCCATCATTCAGATTTCTGTGTGAATGAAATCACAGCCTGGAGGTGTGCAGTGTACTAGCCTGCTGAGGGTCTTAGCCCTATGGGTCTAGCTGCTGGGCCCACATAAATGCCCAGGCCATGGCTTGTGGGCCCCACCCCCAACCCAGTGGAGGTCTATAACCTGTTCTTCTCTGTCCACCCAGACGGACATCCTGCCCACATGACCTCCCACTGCCTCCTGTGCCTGCAGTTTAACAGCACCTGCACGTCTATGTACATGTGAAGACACGTGTATGTATCTGTGTTTGCGCTTAGACTCCCCTTCTCACACCCAAACTCCTCACCTATCCTCCAAATCTTTGAAGAAGACAGGTGAGGGGAGGCCTTGGGTGCCCCAGGACTGGCCCAGTGTACCCAGTGCCTGATAGAGTAACTCTCTGTCCAAGAGGTTCAAGGACCGCGTTATCTCTGTTTGAATGGGACCTATGCAAACATCCCCATTCAGACAGCTCCTGGTGGTGTCACCGCCACCACCCTGCTGTGTTTGCCACTTGAAAGGCCCCCTTCAGACAGGTTTGGGGCCCTTGCACCTCGAATGTCCGGGGCCCCAGCTCAGGAGAACACCCGCCAGTCTTAGAGGAATTCTGATGCGGGCGAGGAGCAGGGACCAGGGGAGGACACTGTGTCACCAGGTCTTGGAGACTTTCAGATCAAGGGTTGAGCAGGAGACAGATTCTAGTTTCAGAGCTGAGTGGGGGCCAGGGTCCTCCATGCCCGGGCATGGGGGATGGAGTATACAGAGCAAGGTGCTGAGGTGAGGGAGACCCCGGAAGATGCTATCAGGAAGGCAGCTGGGAAGGTATGTAGGGCCATCCTTAGGGGTAGGGACCTCTGCCCAGAGGGGAGAGGAAACAGGACAAGGATGGGGGCCCTGAGGATATCAGAAGGGAAGGATGGGGCGGCCCCCGCAATCCATCATGCTGTTGGCTGGCCCAGGATTTCCTCAGCACATACCAAAGATTCCAACCAAAGTTTGAGGCTGGCTCTCCCAAACTTTCCTCCGCAGAGCAGTTCCTTCAGGCTCTTCTCATGCTGGCAAGCACCCACCACCCGACCCAGGCCACGCGACCACCCCCTCTGTCCTCCGCTTCTTCAAGGGGCAGAGGAAGAGAGAGGGGCAGAGAAGGCCCTGACAGTCAGCCAAGGGCCCAGAAGTCTGGATCTCTGTGTCCGGCACATCACTCCAGCACTGTTCTGGGGAAAGGGGCTGACCTCCCTGTCATGAGAAGTGTGCAAGCCATGCTGAGCTTGCACCCTGCAGGACTCATGAAGGAAGGGATGTGAGCACTTGCCCTAGAGGTCTTGAAAGGTCTCTCTCCAGCTCTGATTCTGTGATGGTTGAAGGAGCTTCTAGCCTGATTTGTGGGATTCTGTAACTTTCCAGCCAGCCAGAGACCCTGGGCTCCTTTTCAGTGTGAGAAGGCACTGTTTTCCCAGAAGTGGCCCTGGATTCCAGCGCCTTGGGCAGGGCCCAGAAAATGGCTCACGTCAGCCTCTCTGGAGCCTAAAAGCTCAAAGAAAATGGAAAGAAACCTGGCACGCAGTGGGCATCAGAAGAACACACAAGGTCCAGGCTGGCTGCCTGAGCCTTTTCGGCTCTCAGCCACGTGCGGTGGCGGGTTCCATAGTTACCACCGCTGTTTTACCGATATGGAAGGGGGTGCCTAAGCCTCCAAGGTCACAGAGCTCCTCCGCATGGAACAAGGACTGGAACCCAGTTTTCTGTGATTTCAGAGGCTGTGTTCTTTCTCTGGGAGGAGCCAACAGCAGAGGGTCTCTGGCAGTAATTCTCAGCTGGGGGCTATTTTGCTCACTAGGGGACATTTGGCTGGAGACATTTTTGGTTGTCTCCCTGGGGCGGAGAGGGAGGTGCTCCTAGCATCTAGGTAGAGGCCAAGGATGCAGCTAATCATGCTGAACAATGCATAGGACAGCCTCCAACAATAAGGAATTTTCTGGCCCAAAACATCAGTGGTGCCAGGGATTTCAGCATCGTTGGTGGCTGGGGGACAGGTGTGTGAGCTTAACTGGGGCATCCCTGTAAGAGAGGGCAAGCTCAGGGCACAGGCTGCCTTCTGACTGCTTGGCTGGACCCAACCCCCTGTGCTCACTTCCATAGGGATTTCTTTAAGCACTCCATCTGCCCGCCAAACACCAGGCTCGCAGACGGTCAGAGGCAGCCTACCTGTTCTGATGCTGAATACAGCCTCTCTCTTCGAGACTGTGGAAACAGCCCTGGCCTTGCCCGTCCTGCCCACCACTCCCACAGAGCCCAAGGAATCTTGCAAAGGGTGACAGCTGACCCAGAGTTTCCTCGGCTTTACCCTCCAGCGTGTTCCCTCCAGCAGTGGTTTCCAAGCACATACCATAACAGTAAATCGCGTGAGGCACATTTATCTAGCACTTCCTCTGAGCCAGGCACAGTTTGAGTGGAAACAGATCCTAGTATCACCCTCATTTTACATCTGAGGAAGTGGAGGCACAGAAGGCTTGCACCCAAGGCCCCCAGCCAGATTCAGAACGGAGCCACATTTCTAAGAAACTCTGCTTCTGGGTCGAGCCATGAGGACCTCTGTCACCCTTCTCCTCCTCACGGTCCAGCCCCCAAACGCCCACCCCAATCCACAAGGCTGCCAAGGCAGCTTGGGATGCTCAGGACTCTTAAGCCCCAGCTGCCAGGCAGTGCCAACAGAATGAGGTTCTCACGGGGCTTTCGTGACCCAGCTTCAGCTTTAGCTCCCGACCTCCACGACAGTCTGCAACAGCCGAGCTCTCTCACCTCCTCCCCTTGGTGTTCGCCACCCTCTGCTTGCTCCTTGAGTTGTGTTGCTCACACCGCATGGCAGTTACTCCTTGCAACTCTCTAGGCACCATGTTTTATTCATCACTGTGTTCCTAGTGCAGGGCCTGGCACAGGGCAGGTACCAAGGAATGTAGTGGTGAGGCCGCTAAAGAACTGGGCTCTGGAGTTGGTGAAGGAGGCACCAACCCCAGCCCCTTCAGGCATCTGCTAGGACCTCAGTGGGCAGTACAGAGCCAGGAAGCTAAAGGCCTGGAAAAAGTCAGAGTGGGGAGGACCCTCTGAGAGCCTCTAGTTCAATCTGCCCATTCCACAGATGGGAAACTGAGGTCCAAAGAAGGAAAGCAATCTGGCCAAGATCACGTGAGGCTGGGGTGGGGCAGCATCAGCAGCAGAGCCAGAACTCACCCCAAGGCTCCTGTTGGTGTCCCTCCTGACAGACTGGGGACCAAGCCCAGGTCCCCAGACCTGGCAGAAGCATCCCCAGGAAGGCAAGGGGCTCATCAGGGCCCCAAGGCAGACGGCAGGCGGCAGGCACATGCACCTTATCTTTGGCCCATCCTGTCTCCCTCTCCAGCCCCAGAACTGGGTGGGGCAAGGAGGAGCGGGGACAGGAGGAGCAGGCGAGGGGGTACCTCGGTCTCCAGCTGGCGTGGATCCGAAAGAAACTCCGTTTATTACTAAACATCTGGCTGGAAAGTGGAGAACAAGACACAACAGAGGTTAGTGGGAAGGAGGCAGGTGGGCAGAGCATGGGGAGCTGCCAGGATGGGGCCAGCCTCCTGTGGCTGGTGAGAGAGAAGGACCCCCCAACTCAAATCATCCTCTAGCCCACATGCCTAGAAGGCAGAGGTTCTCCAGGTTTGCATAAGGATCTCATGGGGAGCATGTTAAATATGCAGAATTCCATGCCTCTTCTCTAGAGATGCTCATTCCGCAGCTTGGGGAGAGGTCCAGGTATCTCTGCATGATGAACAAATGTCCCATGGGATGCTGACACAGGAAGTTGGGGACGATGCTCTGAAAACCACTGTCTTAGCGTCTCATCGCAAAACCCACAGAGAGAGGTGCTGGCTCTGGCACAGCCACCTCTCAGGAAGTCCTTGTCGTCCTGGGAACATGCTCAGCCTGGGTTAGTCCACAAGCACCACTAAGGCTGTGGCCAACCAGATGTTTGGGTGTGTGTGTTTAGGGAGTGGTCCTGTCTTGGGCACCCAGCCCACAGGGCCCAGACAGCCAAGATTAAGGATCTGGCCATGTGGTCTGCTGCCTGATCTCCTAGGGGGCTTCCCAAGTGGTGCTAGTGGTAAAAAACCCACCTGCCAATAGAGAAGACATAAGAGACGTGGGTTCGATCCCTAGGTCAGGAAAATTCTCCTGGAGGCGGGCATCGCAACCCACTCCAGTATTCTTGCCTGGAGAATTCCATGGACAGAGGAGCCTAGTGGGCTCCTAGTGGAGTCCTAGTGGAGTCCATGGGGTCGCAGAGAGTCGGACATGACTGAAGTGACTTAGCACACTCACACTAATCTCCTAGAAGTCACAGTTCAGCCCCCTGGGGTCTGGGGAATAAGGAACACTCCACCACCATCACCGTGAGCCCCAGCCACACAGCCACTGCAGGGCAGACACACACAGGCTGGGAGTCAGTGATGGCTGAGTCCTCAGTGGTCCTCTGTTCCTAGGTCTTGGGGGGCTCAGAGACCCAGAGTGGCTGTGGGGGGTGTTACAGATTCTGGGGTCCAGGATAAGCTCCATTCCCGGTACCTTCCTACTCAGGCAAAGAAAAACCAGAACAAACTGAAGCTGCAAAGAGCCCTGGCTCAGGCTGTGGGCAGGGTTGCTCAAATGCCAAAACTTCTGAGCTTCTGCCTGTCTGCTGTGGTTGGGTCGGGGCAGGGATAACACTGTGGGACATTCAGATAGTGTCAGAGAATATGTATGGGCTACACCATGGACCCTCTTCCAGGGACCTCCAGCCTGGCCTGGCCAGTCACACTTCCCCTCCTCCCAGAGACCTAGAGGGGTCTCCCTCTTTACCCACTTCCTATTCAGCCCCTGGCCAGAACTGCCCTCGCTGAGACCAGGAAAGGAATTCTGCTCCCCGCAGTCTCTGCACCAGAACCCCCTCTTCCCTGTTCCCTGGGCCTTTTCAGCTCAGAAACCCAGATCAGCCCCTGAGCAGCCTTCACATTGCTGATTTTCTGCCCAGAACCCAGAGGCTCAGAGTGGCTTGATGAATTTCTCAAGTACACACAGCACCAAGCAGCAGAGGCTTTCACAGCACCTCCTCCTTCTGACATCTCCTCCTCCTGATCCTTGAGTGGTTCACCTCTTTTCCCCTTCCTTGTTCTGGGCCTGGGGCTCAGAATCACACCCGAGGCTCAAGGCCCAGATGTCCACCTGACTGATTCAGGGGTGATATGCAAAGATGAAATAAACCGATGGGCAGAGGACAGGGGATGATGACGGGGGCAGGTGGGGATTGAACCCTTGGCCTCAAAGCTACACCTCTGTAGGAATAGTCACTTTCCCATATACAGTGAGTTAGTGGGCTTCCCTTATCCAAGTATGCCTGAAATTCCACTGTTTATGAACATTTATATGGGGGTAAGCGTTGTTCTTTCTTTGTTCTTTTAAGATGCAAAAGCTCCAGGAGAGGCAGGTCAAGGGGAGAGAGATTGTCAGGACAGCAAAATGTCCTTCCGTAAGAAAGAAAGGCATTGTGGGAGAATCCCAGGAGGAGGCTCTGGGATTAGCAAAGCTGTGGACGAGGCTCGCACAAGACAAGAGCGTTAGTCACTGGTTGAGTTTACATAGGCCCTTCAGCAGTGCTTAGTCACAGAGCTCTCTTTCCAGCTGGCATCTCATTCCTGAGGCGAGTTCAGTGTCAAGCCCCTTCTAGAGGAACATGCTGGGGAGGTGGGGCCCCGGCCCTCACACCCCGGTACAGGGCCCACGATTACCTGAGCCGTAAGCACCTGTGGCCAGCGGCCTCCTCCTCTCTCCAGCTTCCCGGGAGGGATAGGGGTGCAGGGATGGAAGAGTGAGGGGGATGTGGAAACAGAGAAAGAAAGAGGACAGTGGAATGAATGGAGGAGGTGATGGGAAAGGATGGTGTGGACATCTCCCCCACTCAGGCCCCTGGAGTCCAGGTGACAAAACGCTGAGTCAACTCTGGCCTTTCCAGAGAGACCGTCGGTCTGAACCTGTCAGGCCATCCGATGACAACTGCCCAGGCCTCCTGACAAGGCCTGGGAGTCCCCAGCACAGGCCCAGACACTCACACAGTGGCTGGAGACAGGTCCGAGAGAGGATGAGACAGAGAATGGAAGAGGAGGAGGAGAAGCAAGAGGAGGTGGCAGCCCCGGAGGGCCCCTACCTTTCCCCAGGGCAGAAGGAGGTGCTGCCCGGCCGGTGGCAGGTGGCAACGGGCGGGTAACGGGAGGGCGCTCCGTCGGGTACCGGCGCCCGCCGTACCTCCAGGGGCCGTAGGCCCCCGTTGCGGGCCCGTTGCACGTGCTCAAACAAGAGGGCCAGCTCTCTGCAGGAGAGGGCGCCGTCAGCGGCAGGCAGGGCCCTGGCACCGCCCCCCACCTGAGGACCCTGAGCTCCTGGGGCCTGGCCTCTCTGGAGATGCTCAGCTAACACGCCAGGGCCGCATGGGCAGGGGCAGGAGTGGGAAAGTATCCTCCCTTTCTCTCTCTTCTCAGCTGCTGGGAAACCTTCAAGGATGCCCAGTATGATTGTGCTGGATGGGCACCACTAGGGGGCACCCTCCCAAGGGGGAAGGTGGGGACCTCAAACCCACCTCACTCTCTGCTCCGCAAGCGGAGCGCCTGCACGTGGAGCCGTGCCCACCCGGAGGCCAGCGGCAGCCCTGAAATCCTGCCCTCCAGATCTGACTGGAGTTGAGAGGAAACTGAGGCTTCTGAGGGAGACTTGATAGGGCAGCTCACTTCCTTCTGCAGCCTTCACGCTGGGTTCTTGGAGACTAGATTGAGGGCTCAGCTTCTTCTGAACTCTCCAGGCCATCTCCTGTTTCTCTAACCCAAGAAAGAGATCTTGCCTCTCTTTGCCTTCCCATTGTACGGATGAGGAAACTGAGATCCAGGGAGCAGAAGGATCAGTGGACCCAGAATTTCCCAACCAAGCTCTGATTCTCTTCCCAGAGGACCCAAGACCATCTCCCCCAAATCATTCCTTCCCATCGCACACATATTTCTAACAAACTAGCCCCTGCCCCACTCCCCAGGGCCTGGCCTTGAGTCCTGAGGACTGCTTCTAGAAAGAAGGGCTCTTTCTATTAATAATCTAACCACCATCCCTGTCTTCGGGGTGGGCACTTGCCTCTGCCAGGTGGAGAGATGGGGGAGCCAGTGTGATTCTGAGAGGCCCTCTTCCCAGCCCCTTCTCTCCTGCTTCTCCCCTGGGAAGCCCCCTAAGGCTGAGGAAACAGGGAGGGGGCAGCCAGGTGTAGGGGCAAGTGGAATCACTCAACTGCTGCTCTTTGAGAACTGAGGCCAAAAAGGCACCAGCAGAAACGCTGAGCACTGCAGCCTGGCCCCGCCTCCCTCGCAGCCCGCAGAGCTGAGCCGCTCTCCAAGGTCTTCATTCCTGCCCCAGGGTGTGGCCAGGCACCTGGCCACAAGAACCTTGGTGATGCTACTAATGACCCCCTGTGTGGAGCCACCCCCATGCAGTCTTACCCCAGCCTGGGCCAGTGGGGCAGACCTACTTCTGGGCCCTAAGGCTGCTGCCTGGTACAGTAAAAGCAGGCATGAGTGGGGGTGCTGGGGTGGGTGCTAGTACCTAACTCTGGCACATACGCTCTTGCCCACACCACAGTGCCTCTATCCACTGCAAGGGCCAATGCTGACCCCAACTCAGACTGAGGGGAGTGAGCTGGCTGGGCTCTGCCCCAAGGGGCAACTGCTCTGGGGGAGCATGTAGACTGCCAGGACCAGGGCTTAGCCCTGGGTCCAATGTCCCCAGCTTCCCTGGCAAAAGAGAGTGGGAGAGGACCCTCCAGGCCCTGGGTTACACAGGCTCTGCAGAGCCAGCCCCAGAGGCTCCCATGGGACCCATCACCCCCTTCCCAGCCTCCAGGACTGTGTCCCAGCCATCTGTCCTCAGGGGCAATACTGTCAGCCACCCACCTCCCCGTCCCCCCCACAGGAGGGCCTACCTGAAGGACGGGAGGATGCTGTCATAGTAGTACCAGGTGGCCGTCAGGTAGGCCCGGCTTGTGTCAGTGGAGTAGAGGCGCCATGCAGCCTGGTGGTGTGGGAGGAAGGGGAAGGAGGTGGTCAGGGACCAGGCATTGGAGAGGCCCCTCTGCCCCCAAAAGAACCCAGGCTTCAGGCCAGTTGAAGGGTACTCAGAGCCAGAGGCTTGTTCCAACTCCACAGCCACCAGCAAGGCCAGAAGGAGGCCTGGGGAGAAAATACTCCCAAGGTTACATGCAGTCAGCCTCAGAGCCAGAGGCCTGGGACTGTGGGAGTTAAGAGCTGGGATTTTGCCATCAGGCAGAAGTGGGTTTCTAATCCCAGGCTTGCCACCTACTTGAGTGGATGATTCAATAAAGCCGCAGATCCTTAAGTTTCTCATCTGTGAAATGGACATAGTACGACTTACATAACAGGGTGGTGGGGGCTTCCCAGGTGGCACTAGTGGTAAAGAACCCACCTGCCAATGCAGGAGACATAAGAGACGTGGGTTTGATCCCTCGGTCAGGAAGATCCCCTGGAGGAGGGCATGGCTACCCACTCCAGTATTCTTGCCTGGAGAATCCCCATGGACAGAGAAGCCTGGCGGGCTACAGTCCACAGGGTCTCAGAGAGTTGGACACAACAGAAGCGACTTAGCATGCATGCAACGATTCTGTAAGGACTAAATGGGGAAATGTTCATTAAATGCCAAGCACAGTGCATGACACGTAGTAGGCACTTAATACCAAGTTTCCCTATTTAACACTCCTGTTATGTCTGGTTCCCACAGCTGATGTATATTTATCCATTGTGTATTTGATTAATGTATTTCTCTCTCCTTAGTCTGTAAGCTGTGTCTTGGTCAGCACTGTATCCTCTGGCACATGCTGGGTGCTCTGCAATGTCTGGGGAAAGAATACTGACTGAATGAATTATTATTACTAAAAATAACCCTACCCCATTCTTCCCAGCTGCCTGCCACTACCCATGGGATTGAGGAGGGGAGGAAGGAACATCAACTACCAGACCCTTAGCATCCATGAAGTTGCTGGGTCTCCTCTGCAGCAGCAGGGATGAAGGTCAGACAAGAGGAAGGACTGTCCCTCTCCCCCCAGGTAAAGGGAAGAGTCAGTAGGGACTTGAGGGTGAGTGGGGCAATCAGCAACGGCAGGTGCTGGGCAGGAAGAAGTAGAATTGGATCCTTCTTTAGATGCCGCTTGTCTTTAAGGGCCAGCCCACTGCTGACCTCACTGGCCAGGCACCCTCCTAGGACAGGAGTATTTTTACTTCCTGCTTGCCTAGTCCCTTGGCTTGGGCTGGGGAGCAGCTGCCAGAGCTGTCTCATTAATTATGGGCACCACAATACCAGCTGTCTCTCGACACAGCCAGTGCCAGCCACCTGCCCCTACAATGCCCCTTGGAAGGCCAGTTCCCAGGGGATAGCGGCCATTGTGCCCCAAGGGATGCTGAGAAGGCAAGGTTGGGCTGGTAGCTGGAGACAGCAGAGATGGGAGGGGGGGTTCCACCCTGGGGAGGAGAGATAAGGGGGTGTTTGTTAAGTCAGATCTGGGCTGAGGGGGTCAGAGCATGAGAGGTGAGCTGTGCCAGTGTTCCTGGAACTATTGGGTTGGCCAAAAAGTTCGTTCGGGCTTTTCTGTGCCAGTGGCTGGAAACCCCAAATGAACTTTTTGGCCAGCCCAATATTTCTCGCAGGAGGCTGTTACAGAGTCCCCAAAATTCAGAGCACCTGCCTCAGCCCATGCCCCATGGGAATGCCTCAGACAGTGGGGGAAACTGAGCCCACATACTCCTGCTTTTTTCCCACCCCTCTGGGTGTTCCTTCTCTGCCTCCTTGGCTGGCTCAGCTCTGCCCTCCCAGTCACTAAATGCTCAGGTTCCTTAAAGCTCAGCGGTAAACCATCTTCTCTCCTTCCTTCCTCTGCCTGCTGGCCAAGCACCTCCATGCCCAGGGCTTCGTTACTGCACACAAGGCCTAGCACATTACTCAACAGGTGCACACCACTACATCAGCTGCCTCCTCCACACACCCCCAAAACTACCCAGGGGTTCAGAGGCCCCGCAGACTCCTCATGTTCCAGCCAAACTCACTCTTCATGCCCCAAATCTAGTCACCCTTTATTGAGGAGGGTCATCAACCCTCCAGTCGGGCAAGCCAGAAACCTAGAAGTCACCCTGACATCTCCCTCTCCCTCACTCCTGATACTACTAATTTCACCTCCTAAATATACAGAATCTGCCCATTTCTTTCCATCTTATCTGTTGCTACCCTAGTCCAAGTAACCTGCCACCCCATCTCACCCAGACTGTTGCCGGAGTCTCTTCTCTGGTCTCCCCACTCACACAGGTCACCCTCCAATCCACTCAAAACTTTTCAAAACACAGATCTGATCATTATCACCCCTTCCTACTGCTTCATACCTGTCAATGGATCCTCACTGTTCTTAGGAAAATATTAAATTTCTCTCTCTGACCTCATATCTGGGCCTCATCCACTGAGCCAAACCCTTCCGCTGTACATTCCTACTTGAGCTTTCTGTTCCAGCCTCACTAGATTCTTTCCTGTTCATCAAACACACCCTGCTCCCTTTCACCACAGGACCTTTGCACATGCCATTCCTTTACCTCTTTAACCTCTTCACCTAGTTAACTACCCATCCTCCAGCCCTCTGCTCAAGTGTCAGTTTCCCAGGGTAGTCATCCCTGAGTTTCCCTTCAAGGTCAGATCAGGCCAAGTCCCCAGCTAAATGCTCTTTGAAGAACCATTTCTTTCTTTCAAGGTGTTTTTCTTGGTTGCAGTTATAACATTCATTTGTGGGGAGGATGGTGGGATGAATTAAGGTGTTGGGAGTAGAACAGGCTTCCTGATGATCGCACAGCTGATGGGGGGCAGAACTGGGTCTCCTCCTGGGGCCTAGGATCTCTTGTCCAGTCTCCACTTCAGGCCGTGCAGAGCTGGGGCTGCAGCTGGGCAGTGGGCCAGCTTCAGCTAGCCCTGAACTGGGCATGCAGAAGAGGGAGAAGTTTCTGACAATCTTAGCCAGCCTCCTAGCTCTGTCCCTAACCTGGCATGTGGCTCCAGAAAATTCTCTCTGAGTGGAGTCATAGATGTGAAGTGGGACACAAGGGTCAGCATACAGATCTGACACACCAGTTCAGTTCAGGGGCTTCCTGGGGCTCCTGTACCTGGATGAGGTTGGCTGCTGGCATCCTCCGCTTCTCAAAGTGCTTCTGTCGGTGCTGCTCCTGCACCTTCAGGGCAAAGCCAGAGCCGAGGATGCCCTAGGGCAATAGGCATGGTTGGAGGTGGGACAGCCAAAGGCTTTAAAGGTACCCCTACTGCTGCCCATCTGAGGTGTCTCCCCCACCCATGCAAATGCTGGACAGGGGCTTAGCAGGCTCTCTCCCCAGGACCCCCTCCCCTAGGCTGGGCCGTCCTAAGTGAAGGGGGACTCACAGCGGGCAAGGCAAAGAAGGAGATGCCCAGTAAGGCAAAGCCAGCAGCCAGGACCCTGCCCAGCCACGTGTGTGGCGTCTTGTCACCGTAGCCGATGGTTGTCAGTGTAATCTGGGGACACAAAGAAATTACCTGCAGGGCTGGTCAGGGGGTCCACCCACAGGAGATTGCTGGGGCACAGGGAGTGGGAGCCCGATCATGAGGGGGACCTCCATGGTTGCCCACAGGAACTGGTCACAAGGACTTGTCACAGGGGCTGGTTCCTAATCAATGGGTTCTCCCCCTCCCCCTTGCTGATGGGGAGAGGGGTAGAGGTCACAAGGGCTTGATGTAGGGAACTAGAAGGGGGCACAAGCTGGTCCACTGGGGGAAGCTGGGGGACTAGCACAGGGGCTGGTCACGGGATTTGGGGTCACAATGATCAGGCCAGGAAGGGTCCCAGGGAGAAGGGCGGCCCTGCACAGACCCTCACGCACCGTCCCCCACCAGAGCGAGTCGGCGTAGGAGGAGAAGTCGGAGTTGGCGTCCTTCTCGGCCAGATAGACCAGGAAAGAGGCGAAAATGAGCACCAGGAACCCGATGTACCAGGCGGTGATCAGCTCCTGTGGGGGCAGCAAGGGATGAGACCACCCACCCGGCACAGGTGGGGAGGTGGACGGCTCCCGGAATGGCCTATCGGAGGTGTTCTCAACGGGTTAAGAGTACCCTGGTGGCCGCTCTGCCGGCCTTTCTCAGTGACTCCCTTCCAGGACACCCTGCCCGCCTTTTCGGGCACAGCCAGGTCCTCACAGAACCTCAGAGCACGCCCCGCCGTGGCCCTGCCCTTGACCCTCCAGCTTCCAGGCTCAGTTCTTCGCCCACGAGCCCACCTTGCACTGCCCCCCACTTTCAGGCTTCCATCCGACCCCACATCCGGTCCCACCGCAGCTCCACTCTCAGACCCCGCTGCAGGTCACCACTTCGCTGTCAGTGTAAACCCCTAAACCCAAAAGCTTCTGCCCCTCAGGCCCCGCCTCCTGGCCTGGTCCTGAACGCCCCCTGACCCGGCCCCTGCCCGGCCCCCGCTAGCCCCGGTGGGATCGCTGGCGCTGGGTCCCTTCAGTTCAGTTCAGTTCAGTCTCACTGGGTGCCTAGACACCCATAAATCGCCAACTCCGCCCCCGGCTCCGCCATGCCCCGCCCCCTGCCGCTCCAGCTCCGCCCCGGACACGCCCCCGCCCGGCCACACCTTGCTGTGCGCGTAGACCACAGAGCCCAGCAGCTTCCAGGTGCCGCCGCGGCGGTCCATGCGCACCATGCGCAGGATCTGCAGGAAGCGCATGCTGCGCAGCGCGGACGTGGCAAAGATGTTGCCCTGCGTGCCCGCGGCGATGACGGCCACCGAGGCCACGAACACGATGAAATCTGCAGAGGCGGGGAACCGGGCGAGGTCACGGCCAGCGTCGGAAAGCCCACCTACCCCGTGCCTGGACCCGAGGCTGGGGGCGGGGATGGTTCCTGGGGCCCGAGGGGGCGACTGGGAAGGTCTGTTGAGTCTGTGTCATTAGCCAGGGTCCTGGGGTCAGGGTGTCAACCCTGAGGTCTGGGGTCAAAGATCAGGTGCGGGAGGGATAGGACCATTACCGATGACACAGAAGGGTTTTCTGGCAAAGCGGAAGCGGCCCTGCCATCCTCGATAGCGGCAGCAGCATCCAGCAGACCAGACGCGGATGATGTACTCCAGACCAAACACCACGATCATCACGAATTCCTGTGGGACCAGGGGCCTGAGTTCTGGTCCCCACTCTTCAGGCCCCGGGCCTAGATCACACAGCACCCACCCAGCCCGAGTTCCTGGGTTAGGGATATTAGAATTTCCTCAGCCCGCCTCTCCTGGATGTTCTTACACCTGACGCCTGGATGGACCTGGGGAGGGTTCCAGAAGGCAAGTGGCTTCTTCCATGTCTTCCAGAGAGACTGAAAGCTCAAGTCTGTCCCCCGTTGCTGTGCCCATGAACTGTCTGAGTTTTTCTGCTCCTCATCCTACCCTCCCCTTCCCAGCCATCTCAGCCTCTGTAACCCTGACCAGGTGACACAAGGGGTGTTTGTCAGTCACAGTGCCCCTCTGAAGTGCTTCTGTTTAGGGATTAAAACCAGATCCCATAGGGGTGGCGTTAGCAGCTTTGATCCTGAGAAGGAGTGGGCCTCCTCTCCTCTTCTCTGGGCCCATCATAAGCCCTAGTATAGAGACAGGAGCTCTCCCAACACCTGCTATAAAGCAGTGGAGCCCTTTGGGCTTTTATGGCAACCCATAAAACCCTCTGGGCTTTTATGAAGCCCAGAGAAGTACAGTCACCATGTCAGGGAACACAGCACAGAAAGCCACTCTCTGAGATATGCTATGTGAAGCCTCACTTGACCTTCACCCTCAGCCCAGAGGTGCTACCCCTCCCTCAGACCCAGATTCCAGCACTCACTAAGATGAGGAGACACTCGTTGGCAAGTTCCTGGTGCTCCTGGATAGTGGACAGCACGGACAGCACCAGGCAGCTGAAGACCAGCAAGAATCTACAATAGCAGCATGAAGGAGAGGGTTAGATGCTGGATGGACAGGGCAGCTGAGGAGCCTCTGGCAAGGGGCTGCAGAGGAGGAGGAGGAAGGGAAGAAGGAAGAGGAGGAGGGGAGGAAGAGGAAGGGGAAAGGAAGGGGATAATCTGGAAAGTGGACTAAGAACCAGAGTTCCCTGGAGTTGTGGCTCTGTGCTGGACCTCAAAGGGAGAAGCCCCCGAGCTCCAGGTGGCTAGGCTCACAGACAACTTACAATCCTCTCAACTGCCCTTGATGCACCCACAGCTCCCAGAGGTGGACACTGAGCTGTGGTGGACAGGTCTGTCTGGGCTGGCCAAGGGAGGAACCCAAGAACCGCCCCCTCTTCCCTATGAAACATAGCTTCATCTGCAGAATGAAGACAACTGCTTCTGCCTTCGTGGGTTCTTATGAAATTAAATACTGAGACAGCTATGGAAGGAAAGGGCATCGGGGAAGACAGATAGGGAAGGGGAGGATGCAGAGGGGGAGAGGGTGTGGGGAGGGCAATTGGGCATCAGGGGGCCATGCCATCGAGGCCTGGAACTCCCCACGGGGCAGTGGGAAACTACTGAGTGGCCCAGAACCAGACATTTAGAAATGGAAGGAACTTTAGAATCCAGCTCATCTGATTCATGATGAGCTCATGAATTAACCTCCATTGCACACATGAGGAAACTGAGGCTCAGAGTGGGAAAGGGAGTCACCCAAGGTCACCAGGATGTCCAGGACAGAGATGAGACGCCAGTCAGGGTTCCTAACGCCCCAGTGGATGGGAAGAGGGGAAAGGACATGAGGAGTGCACACGTGAGGGAAGATAGGGTGTGGGGCGCAGGCCGCAGGTGCAGCAAAGGGCAATGAGGCTGGTTTCCAGGAAGCACTCCTCCTTTTGATGGGGGTGTCACACCTGGAAGAGCCTCCTGAGGGAATGCATTTCCCTGGAAACGCATTGACCCACAGCCTGCCCCAAATGTTCCCAGAGTGCCCCTACCTGGGACTGCTGCCGCTGCACTCTGCCTGAAACGCCTCACCATCGGAGCCTGAGGAAACTCTGCTCAAGCTCCCCTCACCCCAACGCGCCTGCTGGGGGAGCCCCCATCCCACCGTCAGCTCAGAACACCCCCTCCCTATGCCTGCCTCCCAATCACTGTCTGCATGTGTGCGTGTTAAGTCGCTTCAGTTGTATCTGACTCTTTGCAACCCCATGGACTGTAGCCTGCCAGGCTCCTCTGTCCATGGGATCCTCCGGGCAAGAATACAGAGTGGGTTGCCATGCCCTCCTCCAGGGGATCTTCTCAATCCAGGGATCGAACCCACGTCTCTTATGTCTCCTAGCATTGGCAGGCAGGTTCTTCACCACTGGCGCCACCTGGGAAGCCCCAGGTCACAATCAACAGCATTTTATTTGTGTTCCTGTTTCATCAGCGTTTGCCTGCAATGCAGGAGACCAGGGTTCAAAATCTGGGTTGGGAAGATCCCCTGGAGAAGGAAATGGCAACCCACTCCAGTACTCTTACCTGAAAAATTCCATGGACAGAGAAGCCTGGTACGCTATAGTCCATGGGGTCGCAAAGAGTCAGACACAACTGAGTGACTTCTTTACTTTTTCATCACAGCAAGTGCATGGGCTCCGAGTCAGAGACCCAAGCTCAGATGCCAGTCCTACAGTGTGTGTGACCCTGAGAAAGTCACCTTCTCTGAGCCAGTCTCATCATCTGTGAAGTCAGGGCAGATGGGGTAGGGTGCAGAGACATAGGAAGGGCACGGCTCCACCTGGCCCACCTACACCTCCCTGGATGGGGCTCCCAGCCTGCTCGGAGGGTGGGGACAGAGCCTCAGCCCAGCACCCGCCTGGGGAGGACGTAGGTGGCAGATGTCAGTAAAGGGTTTTGGATGAATGAGAGAGGAAGAGGCCTCCTTGGCCAGTTCCAGGCAGGAGCTAAGTCAGCGAAGATGTAAGGCACGGGCGGGGGGCAGGGGGGTGGTGTGTGTGGTGGGGGGTGGGGGTGGGGGGAGCACCAGCTCCTTGTGTTCAATAGTTAGCCACAGAAAACGCTGGTGAACCCAGTGCCACATCCACCGAGAATGGGCTCGGGGCAGAAAGGTCCTCCGGAGGTCATCCTATCCCGTCCCCTCCTCTGGGAAGGGGTGCAGCCAAATCTCGATGGGCATTCAGCCCAGCCCTGGACAGAAATCCTTCAGTCATATCACTCGACTGATCTCAGAACCTCAGGTAATAAATGGGTCATGTTTGGGGCTTTGCACTGAGTGTTTCAATAGTTCTTTTTTCCCCCTCAGCATTATGTTTTCCATGTCAAGAATTACACATCTCTAAAATGTCCACTTCACAATAGGTTAAGTGAAAAAAGCAGATTATAAAAACTTAAAGCAACGTGATTCCAATTTTTTAAGTATAGATGCTTTTTATATATTAATACAAACCAAGAGTGAGCAAGGCTGGTCTCTGGATGGCAAAATTAAGAGTGATTTGGCTTTTGTTTTGCTTTCTGCTTATCTTTATTTCCCGTTATTTTTAAAGAATAAACATGACTGTTCAGGTAACAAATTAATATCAGTTTTAAAATGCAGCAACTTCCCTGGTGAGTCAGTGGCTGAGACTCTGTGCTCCCAATGCAGGGGGGCCTGGGTTCGATCCCTGGTAAGGGAACTAGATCCCACCTGCTATAACTGAGAGTTCACATGACACAACTAAGACCTGGCTCAGCCAAATAAATAAATAAAAATAAATATTAACTATTTAATTCATTTCCTTAAACATGCCAGTGGCGGCAGGGGAGAACCCTTTAAATTCTGTCCCCATCCCTTTACCACAACAGCCTCGGCCAGTTAGCAGGTGTGGGGGTGTGGCAGCCTCTCGCCCGAGTCCAGCTTGCCTGCCAACAGCCTGCTCAGCATCTCTTCTCAGATGTCTAGAGGCTTTTCAAACCCAACATAATGTCCAAAAACAAACTCTCAATTTGCCCTAAAATCTCCCCATCTCAAGAATGGCACCATCTCCCATCCAGGGGCTCAGGCCAATGATCTAAGAGCAACCCTTGACTCCTCCTTTCCCTCACCCACCACATCCCATCCTTTAGCAATTTCTACTGGCTCTAACTACAGAGCTGTAGCCCTGGACTCACTAACCCCAACATCTCACCCTTGACAGGTCTCCCTGCCTCCACTCTGGCCCAAGTGGAACCCTCTTCAGAGCAATCAGTATGACTTTCCTACGAAGCAAAGCCGAAAACTAGGACTCCGCTCAGAACTCCCCCCTGATCTGGCCCTTGGAGAGCGGCAGTCACATTCCTCAGCACGTCCAGCAAGGCTCTGCGAGATCCAGTCCCACCCAGCCCTTGAACTTGATCTGGCTCTCTCCACTTCCTCCATCAGGTGCTCTACCTCCCTGCCGTTCCTGGAACACATCAAAAGTTTTTCCACTGCTAGGCTTTGCGCTTGCTCTGCTATTTCTTCTGCCTATTTATTGCTCCCATTCTCATGGGAGATCTCTACTCAAACATCTCCTCCTTGGAGAGGTCTTCTCCAACTACCCCCTCCCCAGAGTAATGGCCCCATCCCCCCCTCACCTGAGTAAATGCACAGCAGAAATTCAACTTAAACAAACATCAAAACATCACGTCGCCAAAGCCCCCGGTTTGCTCCCACTGAAGAGACTCCCAAAGCCCTAAGCACATCCATCCCCAACACAATGGGCTCACCAGCAGCCTTCCTGAAAAGGGAAGAGAAGATGAGTCTCCATCCTTGACCAGCTCCATTTAGTAGACACTGTTTTAAAAACCCGTGAACTTCACCTCTCCAGCCTTCACACACTGGCATGGGATTAGATGCTCAATACAGTTGAACAGATACATTTAGTCTGACAGCGAACATCTTGTATTCCAGGCAGCTGAAGAACTATCCCCATCTTCCAGGTGAGGAAATGGGGCCCAGGGAAGGACAGACTTGCTCAAGATTACTCAGTGAATTCATGGCAGAGCCAGGACCCTAGCTGCTGTGGCCTTCCTGAGCAGTCCTCACACAGACACACACACTGGGACAGCAGAGGGAAATCATGTCTGGAGCTTAGGGGTGGAGGAGACAGAGAGAAGTCACCCTGAGCTGGAGTCTAGTTGTATCTGCCAGAACGAGTCTGTGACTTCATTCATACAACAAAGGACTGCCTAAGGCCCCCTTCTGAGGCTTCAGTTTCCCATCTACAGAGTATAGATGGTACACAGCACTGGCCGGCTGAGGTTCTCTACAATCTCCCCAGCAGAGAGGCCAGGCTGGCAGCTACTTACTGGAGCATCTCTGTCCAGCATGCCTGGATTGGGCCCCCGTTCTCCCAGCCAATCAGGCAGAGCTGGGACCAGTGGGTGCTGCCGGATTGGTTCTCCCTGAAGTGGTGAAGTGAAAGTCGCTCAGTCGTGTCCGACTTTTTGTGTGCAACCCCATAGACTACACAGTCCACGGAATTCTCCAGGCCAGAATCCTGGAGTGGGTAGCCTAGGGTACCCAAGGGTAGTTGATTCCCTTCTCCAGGGGATCTTCCGCATCCAGGGACTGAACCCAGGTCTCTCACATTGCAGAAAGATTCTTTACCAGCTGAGCCACAAGGGAAGCCCAAGAATACTGGAGTGGGTAGCCTATCCCTTCTCCAGGGGATCTTCCTGATCTGGGAATCAAACCGGGGTCTCCTGCATTGCAGGTGGATTCTTTACCAATTGAGCTATCAGGGAAGTCCTGGCCGGGGCTTATTGTGAGACCTATCAAAAGCCTTTCTCCCCCACCCACCCATTCTGTGACTATGCTATTCTTTCAGGAGGGCAGCAAGGAGATCAGGGGTGAATAAGTGAATGGTTTGCTTAGATATATGGTTCTCAAAGTAGAGCGGGCAGCAGAATTACCTGGAGGGCTTATTCAAATACTGATTTCTGGGCCTCACTTCTAGAGCATCTGATTCAGTATGAACTGGGGCCTG